TATAGTTCTTTATTTTAATCGTTAGAATAAAATCGAAAAGTAAAATAAAATTCTAGATATTACAGAAAATCAAATGAGAAACTGAAGGAAAAAAATCTTCTTGTTTTACAGTTAATTGCCTTCTTCATCTCTTATTAATTCGATAAGAATATTTTCTATCGAATTATCTGAATAATCTTTATACGGATAGGATAGCCGATCGAATTTCTGTTTCCAGCGCCATATCGTTGGATCAATTAAGCTGACTTGTCTGCCACCCATTTTATTCAGATAAATATGTCGTGCAGCTGGATGTGTTGCTTGAACAAATGCATATTGAAAACCTTTTGATTTTCGAGCATGATCACACAAGATCCTAGTCATTCGACTAGCTAAACCTTGGCCAGAATGTTCACCTTGAACGGCAGTAGTGATAATATTTAACACTGAATTTGGCTTTAATTCTTTACCAAAATCACGAGAAATAAACAAATGATTTATTTCATGAAATAAATCACCAATTGCAAGGAAATGTGCAGGACTATTAACATCGTATGGACGTTTGGTATGTGCAAGAAATAGATCGCCAACGATGGCTGCACCAACAATTTCGCCGGAAGGTAGATGTCGTGCGAGGAAGGACAATTGTTCATCGACAACATCGACTAATAGTGGCCAAGCACGTTGATGAAATAAAATATCCGATGTAAGTTTATCGAAGACTGCAATTGGATTGTATTTGGTAAATTCTTCAGCAGTGAGTTGAGCACATAAACGTGCATCTCTTTCATTGTTGATTACTTCGTATGCATACTCGTTGCTGTCGTCATCTTCGTCGATCATCATGAGTGATGTGAATATAGTAGGAAAGAAAAAAAGCACTGACAACAAAAAAGAACAAATATTCGTTTCATATATATGCCAAGGCGATGTTTTATTTTTTTTTTCTTTCTTACTATCTCTCTATGTTACTCATTTTTTTTCTTCATTTTTTTTGCGTCCTATCCACATACATCTGGTTCTCTTCCTTACTAACATGGTTTAATGTAAGTAGACGTTAGCTTGCATTGTAATGAGTATATTTGCTCTGCGATGCAATGAACTCGACTATGAAGAAAACGACAAAACGGAAAAATCTAGAATGTTGTCAATGGCTGAAATTCTAGCCATTCCCGTTGAAAAAGAGACTTCGAATACGGTTTAAAATAATAGTGGGATTTATTCCTTTTGTACGAAATCGAACGTGTGATACTTTTCTAGAATTCAGCTTGGACTTGGTTCGTTCGACACTGGAGCGCAAAAGAAAAAAACAACAACGAATTCATGTGAAAAAAAAAGAATATTCGAAGTCTTAGTTCTGTTGCCAATGATGGTATTCTCTAAAAAGAACCGTATCCCAAAAAACTCATAGAGAGTTTTCGATACATCGTAAGCCTAAAAAATTAATTACAGTAAAGCCTCTAGTTGTGAATTGAGAACGAACCTAAAGTGACAAATAGTTCTTTAATTCGCATATACAACTTACGACTTGTACGATGCTTATTCAAACTTCAGATGAAAGAAACGAAACTATTAGTTTTTATGTAACGAAATGAGACTGACGTTATGGATCAATTCGTTCATGATCTAAAAAGAAAAAAAAAGAGATGCTATCAGTTTTTAAATATCCGACAATACTAGAGATATGATTTATCAGTCTTTTCAAAACGATCTACATATATATTCCTTAAATACAACGTGAATGACAATAATCTATACATATATGTGTTCAACGTGAAGCTTTTGATTTGATTCGAGAATCTTCAACCGTATGGTTTTTTTATGAGTAAACGAGTTATAATGATAATCTGAGAACAGAAACTTCTGATGCTCTCACTGTTTAAAAATTTTAAAAACTAAAATGGTTACATTAAGTCGTCATTTTAATGCCATTTAATGAAACTAGACAAACATAAAAAATAGTCTTGACACTAATGATAATTATTATTTGTTGGCAAACGGTTAACAGTATATTTTTCCACATATATTCAAAATTTCGACTGACTTAAAAATGTAAAGATGAGATAGGACTACTCCGAAAGTATGAAGTACTTTCAAATTTCGACAGAAAAAAGATGCACAGAAAGAATGATCGGCAAGCAAATAAGTTATACTATATATGTGGACAGTTTTTAGTTAGCTAAAAATCTCTTACACAGAGCGAAAACAAAGGTCAAAAATAAAAGTTCGAGCACCTAAAATGTTGTTGTGACAAGCTTTGAGCTCTGATCACGATCTTCCCATGAAATAGTCTAAAGATTTTTAAAACTTCGAAAACTTTTGGGGAATCTCAAATAAGAAGCAGGAAAACGACTTCGGTTCTTTATTATACCTTTTTGAGATTCAAGATACTCGAAAATCCTTTCAATTTTACGATGAAAGACTTTGAAAATTGCAAAAGTATTTTTGTCTATCTATTTAGATATCAACTCCGTTTTTCTAGCAATATTAATGTCTCATAAAATCCTAGCGATTTCTGAAAGCAATAAAATGGTATTCTTTAATACTTTCAGGTTATTAAAACGAAGACCATAGAAAACCAAGAAGGCATAATCAGGGTCACTGGAAGTGTCCGGAAACCTTCTCGGAAAACTCTAAAGAGTTCTGAATGAGCTTTCGAACCTATTGCAGTTTACCAGGAAACAGTTATTTTCAGAGCGTGCGCCATTTTCACAAAACGCTATGAACATCTCCATGCGATTCAATGAATTCGAGTAGTCGATTGTAATATTGATAATGAATATTCGATTCAAGCAGCTAACGGTGAGTCAAATGTGAGAATATACTTTGTTTGAATCGTCCAAAAGTCAGTAAACAATTATCCCCATGAAATAATAAAAATGGTGACTTTCATGTGAAAAACATGAAAAAATTGGGATTTTTCATTTTTTTATTCCCAGGGTCGCAAGATTGCTTCAGTGGGCTCTTGGTCACGCCTCGTCGTGTGTACGACCAAGTGTAAAATAATTAGTGTAGATAAAAATTGGAGAACTAGTGCATTTAAATGTCAAGAAAAAAAATCTGGGTTATTAAGTGATAATATTTTCAATTATTGTTTCATCGCACGTATACAATAGGTGCAGAATGACAAGATAAAATTATACATAACAATATATCCAAAGTATATAAATGCACAAGGTCTATATTGTATGTTTTACTCATTCTTATTGATTTTACTAGCAAAGACAAATGCAACATTAATAAGCTTTAAAAGATTTCAAGACAAAATCTTTCAGACAGAATATAAAGAACAGAGTCATAACTACGCATCAAAAATCTTGGTTGTCAGTATAATAAGAATCATAGATTACATAGCTGGTGGCAATATTTAGGATAAAATTTATCTAGTAAAATAAAATCTATTATATAGAGAACATTTTCGACAATCGTTTTTTCATTATTGCTTTGATAAAAACTTGAGCTAATACAGCGGCAGTGAAAATGAAGCAAGAATATTTTGTATTGTACGAGATCATATGATTTGTTTATTAAAAACAAGCGAAAAATTAGAACAATAAACATAACTTGCTGAAGTTAATAATGATGAGAACTAGTTCTCAGCCAAAACAATAAAATGACTTTTGTAGAGATTTCTGAGTCTTTGTTTAATGTTATATAGCTGTAATAAAATTTCTCTTGAGTAAGGGAAACAAAAGCATAAATCATGATGCCCAACAATATTATAGAGTATGAAAAAGATCTTCTATTACAAATGACTATTTGAAATCAGAATTCAATTTTATTTAATTGAGAAATCGTTTGACGTATATGATATGATTACAAACCATTGGTATTGTTTAAACAAAAGAACGTGGTTAAACTTATATGACGTAGAATTCTCAACCAAACTTAACGATTTGTTTCAGCAAATTTACCTTACGTGCGTGGCTACTTCATCTGCTAAAATCATCCCTCTAGCTATTGTCTGTCGCTAGGTTTTCTGTTAAGAAACCATTTTTAAAATTTGCTTCTTTCTTTTTAGTATCTACGGAAGATAGGCCACAAAATATACTATTTGATTTAACGATATTGTTTTTATTTTGCTTGTCCCGCCGTGAAGTATCCATTGTCACAAATTTGGTAAAAAAGATCCTGTCATGCTGTAAACTATTTTTTTTTGAATGACATATGATTGAAGTTCTACTCAGCTAAAGTTAAAATGTAGACCGGTAAAAACAAACAAAATGCTAGTTAAAAAAATCTATTATGTTTATTATTGGTTAAAAAATAACAAATTTTGGATATCAAAATGCGCCTTCCTTTCTGAATGTCCCGTCATGTTTTGTGTGTGAGCGTGAATGCAAGGAGAACATCACCCACACCAACCCTCTTAGAATAGTAATCCTTGGTTAATTTTAATCCGTATGTGTAGGTGTCCTTTTTTAAAAAAGATAATCTAAAACGAGTCTTGAAGTATAGGGATAAAAATTTGAATTCATCTTCGGTTTCCTCAAAACGTGTCGAATGTCTTATTAAAGTCATTCTTCCGCCTCGCTAATAGAAGGAGACAGGTGAATTCGTATTTCTACACACTATTGTTATAGTTCAGAGTATTTTACTACAGCCTATATCGTGTCAGAAGCAAGCATTTCGTCTTTCGAAATGTCTTTACCGTGCACATTAAACATTACGTCAAATAACCTCGATTTTTTTGTTGTCTATAAAGACAAAATACTTTTTGAAGAAATCAATACGATTAACTGGTTGATTCTACGTTTCGATGAATCATTTATGTATAATACAATCAGAAAATGATATTCAATAAATTCTAGCCAACTAACAAAAAATTTTTCGCTACTTCTGATCTCTTTATAACATGCATCCTTACTTTTTCTTTCTATTCTTTCAACAAAAAATGACAGACTTTTTCGTGATATGAGTATTCGTTTTTATTAATAGATTAAGTATAGAACATATAAGAAAATTGTTAAAAGAAAAAAAAAAGTGTCAATTTATTAAAGTTCATCTGAATTCGACGGTTTTTACATCGTGCAGTACCGTGGATAGATGCTACAACAGATGCAAGTCAATGGTTGTAAATAGTAGACATAATATCCACTACAATTGGTTGCAAGAACTGAATTAATTGAATATGATGAATAACATAGATATCCGCTGTAACTAACACATTGGGTACCAGATGTTGTTGCACCAATAGTTGATGGATGAGTACCATTCCACCAAGATGGCTGATTTGAACCACAATAACCTGTACTAACAGGATATGTAACCAATTGAGTTCCTGATGATCCGGTTATTCTATACCAACCATTATAACCAGAGTCACACCAACAACAAGAACTATAATTAACAATACGCGTTGCATCATTTATTGTGTTGTAAGTTGTACATTGAGGAGGTAAACTGATTGCTGTAGAGATTGTTGCTAAAAACAAAATAATTTTAGTTTTAGAGAAAACAAAACAAAAGAAAAGTGTTACTAGCTGCGGTGCTGTTTGTTGAACTATTGGATGTTGCTGGTAAATTGGTTTTAAAAAGTACAAAAAAATCCATACGATAAAATTAATAAGATGTTAAGAAACTTACATAATAATGCAAAAAAGGTAACAATAATACCCAAAGGAACTGCAGTGATTATAAGACCCAGAAGAAAACCTAGAACATGACTTACGCTTATCCATTCTGTGCCTGATTTTGATCTAATTTGAAATAAAATGTATCAATTATTTATTCGTATGATAAATGTTTTTTGTTTACCCTGTTTCAATATTTATTGGATTTGATTTTGATGGCCTCCATGATTTTGTTTGATACTGTATTTGTTGCATTTGTTGTTCATCCATACTGTATTGTGGATGAAGTTGACCAGTATATTTTGAATATGGTACGAGAGCATTTTGTGATGACATGGATAATGAAGGAACATCTCTTATTAATTGTGATGGATTCATGGGTTTTGAAGGATCACTTGTATCCCAAGAAGTTACTCGACGTCCTGTATTGTAATCATCAGCCATTCTTTGTTAATTCACAATGAAGTATGCTATCGTGAAAATTTTTGATTGTTGGATTATAAATGTGAAAAATTTTGTTTGTATTCTATCTATTACTTCGAGTCGATACATCAAAATATATATGTTTAGATTTGCTTTTATAAGTCATCGTTGATTTTTCATTCTATTTGAAATAACAAATCAAAATTCAATAGATCTAGAAAACAATCAATGATGAAAATAACATTCCTTTCGATCACGTCGAATATAGGTGTATTATAAAGAAGATTTTTTTTTTTTAGAGAAGAGATTTCTTGTTATTGTTTTGGTTTGACTAGCATACGATTTGTTATTATGAAAGAAGTATTTCTTTGTTAAAAGCATTCTATAAGAAAAGAATTAACAAGTAGTGATTTTATTTTTTAATCTTTAATCTCCATGAATTTATCTTTAAAAAAGATTGAATCTATGATAATGTCAATTTATTTAGTTCGATATTCACTCTATATCAAATATAGAATAGTGAGTATTATAAGTGTTTATTCTTGTCAAATTGTATTTTCATGAATTTTTTCATGTTTATTACTGTTTCGAATATGAAAAAAATTGATGGATTGCTTTGACAAGTTGTCTCGTTTTTCTTAGCTTCTGATTTTGTTTCATATTGATTCTTTTTTTTTCATTCTAATACAAAATCGAAAACTTATTTGAATATAATCATTAAGTATTTGAATTGAAGGAAGTATTTTTTTGATAAGATAGGATATATTTATTTATTTGAATAAAGTAAAACCAAACAAATTCAAATGGAAAAAAAGAATTCAAATGAAAAAAGTTAATTGTTTATTTTTTAATGTAAATATAATTGAATTAATATGTTGTGCAGTATCGTATACCGGTTGTAGTCATTGGTATTAAATAAAAAACATAATAACCGTTGCAATTTGTAATAGAAATTGTTGTAATATATGGAGCATAACATAAATTGCCATTCCATTGTACACAAACAGTGCCTGTTACAATTGAACCTGCAGTTGATGGAAAAGTACCATTATACCAAGTTGGATATGAAACACCACATGATCCATAACTAGAAGGTGTTGTTGCTAATCGAGTTCCAGCTGTATTCATAAATCTATACCAGCCTGTTGTAAAACTTCCACTTACATCAGAAAAACAATTAGTACAACTTGTATAAGTTGTAAGACGTGTTGAATCTGAATTCGAAATATATGATGTACATTGTGATGGAAGACTGACAGAACTACTTGAAGAATCTAAGGAAAAAATGATTTGATTATTAAATAAAAATAGAGTTTTAATTGAGCGACATGACTACCTGAACTGCTACTAGATGATGCCTCTAAATTTAATCATAAAAATAATAATTATAATAAATATATAAAATGAAATTTCCTTTTTTGTGCATATAAAGCCGACATAACAGCCAATGGAATACCACAAATAATAAAACCGATAAGAAATGTCATTATACATCTTGCTGTTACGTATTTTTTACAAGATTGTGATTGATTTTCACTGAATAATAAAAAAAGTAATTCTATTTTTTTGTCTATAATAGAATAAGATAAATCTAACCTGACGCTTGAATTCGAAATAAAAGGTTCTTGTGAAGCTTTTGTTGTCCATGCTTGATATTTTTCTTGTTGAAATGGTTGAACTTGTCGTTCATCAACAATACTATATTGAGAACGAATTGGAGAAAACTGTTGTAATACCGGTACAGCTTCGGCTGATACTCTCATTCTTATAAATTATATATTTTATGTACGACTAAGAAATTGATCAAATGAATCGAATGAAATTACTTTTACGAAAGATATTTCTGTATTATGAATATGAGAATTAATGTTTTTTTTTCAATCTATGCATTGAAGTTCATATACAACATAATTTATTTTTATTTTCATAGATTGTAGATCTTCATATTTTTTTAAACTTATTGATAAGAAATATATCTACCATTCATATAATCGTTTTTTTTTCTTTTTTTGAAATAACAAAAAGTCAACATTTGCACAATAAAAATAAATATCCGATGGAATTCATGATTGCTTATAGAATGTCAACAATCATTAAAAAAAAAGAAATTCAGGTGCATTTTTATTCTCGTGATCTTTGGTTGTGTAACACATCGGAAAGAATATTATATTATTGTTTTTCAATTGAAACCATAGAATATTTTATTGAAAATATTGTTAGTTATTAAATATTTTCTCTATTGCGTTCATTCTCTTTTATGAATAGAAGAAGGTTGAGTAGCCTACATACAAGCGTCTTAGAGTTCTTATTATATTAATTACATCATTGATCTCGCAATTAAAATTCAATTCTCAAGTTGAAGCGCACGGAGCAAAACCTCGTTTGGAACAGGGAAACATTCTAAGAGAATTTGAGAAAAAAGCCACGACACGCCGTACGTCAGCAGACGAACATGTTCCAAGCTACTTCATCTGAACGCGTTCTGAATGATTAGCTCGGAATAAGTTTTGTCTAGTAGCATACAGCGCGCTCGTGGCTTTTTTTCCACATTCTCTCCGAAGGTTCGCCTTGTTCCAAACATGTTTTTTCTCCATTCGCCTCGACTTGAATTATTAAATACCCACAAGTTCGATAGTCGAAAATAAAAGTTCAATATTTATTTAGGATAAATGAACTTCGAACTAGGATTATCAGATCGACTCTAACTAATGATCACTCTTATGAACGAGAAAATTCATCCGACTGATATATAGCTTTTGAATCAGGACATTGTGCTTCATGCGAATCCTAATCAGTTATCAATATCATAAAAAAGTTCGTATTATGACCTTATTGTTGCCGAGATATTCGTATCTTTTGAATCAAAGTCACGATTTTCTTTAGAAAACTGGAAAAGCTGCTTTTCAAATTCTAACTTGCAATTATGCACAGAAATAAATCTTCAGCAGGATCGTTTTTTTTTTGCTGAAAATTTCGAATCTTTTCATTTGATTCTATATATAAAAGCATCGAATTTACGAGTTTATATGAGTTCTATTACTGCTGTATCTTAAGATATGAACGACGAAACAATTTGAAACTTTCACGATAAGCTATTTTATCGAAGAGTCTGTGTGGTTAGATACCTACACAATTGTTTGCCAAGTAGTCTAACAAAAAACCAAAGTAGACAACTGATTTGGTAATATTTTCATTCAATCTATTGAGAAATATAGAAGGGTGGTATGTCAGCGTGAGTGTGTAGGAAATAGGTGCGTTCGTATAACAATATCTTCGACTACCCACACTCAAATCCACAAAAACCACGCGTACGAATTTAATCAGAACAAATTATTTCTTTTTGATCATCTAAGACAAGACATCGCATCTCAATGCTTTTTTGTTCGATATTCGATGGTAGCACATGCTCATTGATAAAATCAATATGAAAACCAAACTGGGCGACATCGGGCTTGCTATCGAACATTTTAATAAAAAACATTTCATCGGATCGCATCTCACTCAGATATTACCATCTCTGAGAATGTAGAAATTTGCACGACACCGTATAGGCCAACCCTGTATTCAGAGAATCTCGCACTCTGAGTGGATAAACATCATTTTCAATATCAACGGAACAATAGTCGCAAATGGCTAACGATTTGTCTGAAATGTCATTTGAGCTTAATGGTTTCCAGATGTTTATTAGTTGAAATCGAGTCTCCATCCTTTTTTTTCTTTATCTTCGTCAAGCAGTTCTTCTATTTTCAGCCTAGTCGAAGTTGGAGTAAAATCGAAGTGTGAACAGAAGTCAGAATTCTTGTGTTTTGCATCACATTCATTATCTGGACGTACTGGATGCTGATATCGCAAGATGTGGTTGAAGATGATCATACGAAAGACACTCAAACACTTTTTTAGGAAAGAAATTCTCTTTATAGAATCTTTGATGTTCTTTGCTGTTTTCATCGAATTTGTTGCTTGTGAATCCTTCGTGTTTTACCTCCTCAAACTCATTGATGTCGAGATTAACACTCTTTCCCTTGCTCCACAAATTATGAATGGTGAGACGAGTAGTTGATGGTGCAAAATTTAAACTCATCCAACTTGACAAGCTGCTCGCATCATTCCACACGGGACAACTGTCCGTCGTGTGTATCAGAAAATGAATCTTTCTTATGATGTCACCACCCATTATCAATTCGATGTAGTCCATACAAAAACAACACGTGTGCGAAATGAAATAAGAGGCGAAGATCACAAATATGATTCTCGTTTCCTTTCTTATCTTTCTTTACTCTGAACAGAGCGGTTTGGTGTTTTTCTTCGCCGCGAAATGTGTTTGTCGGTAATAAACTGCCTTTTTTTCTCTTCATTTCGCTAAAACACACTGCGCTGCATAGCAGTAGTGATAGAATTCATCATGAATGGAAATTCGAGAGTTCTGTGGTATAGAAGTTTTATTTTGTACTGACTTCTAAAAATATCAACCAGAATTCCTTCAGAGCACCACACTGTAAAAAATATCCGGAGAATAATAAAGCTTAAAAGGGTTCATGAAAGTGCAACTTATAAAAACTCTTTTCTGCCGTTTATGAGAGCTTCCAGAACCACTTTCAAAAAGAAACATAAAGAGGTTGTTGAACTTCAAAAGCCCCTCTTAAAAGATTGATGAAATGGTACATAACATCAATAAACTTTTAGAGGATTTGCCATACATTGCACTTTCATAAATCTATCATGAGTTCATAGTTATCGTAGGATGTAGGTGTGGGTCTTACTTTGTCATTCAACAACAAAACAATAATCGCACCCACATACTCATATCCACACTCACATCCATGTTCTCACTAAATTGAGAACAAAGACAATTGCGAGCAGACCTCAGTGATCTCTTTCAATCGTTAATTTCAAGACTGAACATAAGAAAACAAATATCTTCTTTACAGGAATTTGCTTTATGGATGAAAAAATCAAGTATTAAATAACCAAAAACGAATATACATTTAGAAATTATGTCTAGTTTTGAAAAAGAAAAAAAA